ATTATGTTACATAAGATGTTTTTGTGCATGGTGCAGAACTTTTTTTCCAATTGGAAAAACATGGCTGAGTTCACTGTAAGGTAACGAAACTGACACTTTCCTTAAACCTCATATAATACAAAATATAAAACAATTTAAAGAAAAAAAGGCAGGTTTATAAGAATGAGTGTGAAAGTGATTTTAATGAAAAAAAAAAAAGCTGCACTTCAATATTAATAAAAAAATAACTGCAATGCAACATCCATTTGGTATCTTTTGTGAATCCCTCACAGCTCGCATAAACATTTTGGATTCTGCTTTGGACACTGAAAGAGTAAAATGCTAAATTATCATCTAACACTTGCATGCCTGGTTGACAATGTGGAGTCATAAACTGAAGGGGTTCAACACACAGACACTAGAATTTAGTTCACCAAAACTGGAGCCTTTGACCTGTGGCAGTTCACTATATGAACTGTCAGATAACCGACACATTCAGGCGATCAATCAGTGATTTGATTTTGTGGTGGCTAAGCCTATTAGATACATCAGCTACCAACTATCCCTTTTGGTGCCAGCCTCGAGTGATCATTATAAAAACTGCAGTAATTAGCATTTCTGCATTGTCGTGATTTCTGCCCGTTGAGGTTGCTGGTTGTGTTATAACCAGGTCCTGGTGCAGGAACACTGTAGGCCAAAAGAGTAAATAGTCATGTGTCTGTTAACCTGTGTGTCCTGTGTACATTTGTTGTACATTTACAGAAGTTGTATGGACTTCACATCCAATCATCCTGCAGTTAGTTAGCTGGATTCTGATGGGAATTCTTTATGGAAACTTGCTGTTTCTTCTTTAGATAATAACACCTTGATTTAACTTAAAAAGTGAATTGAAGTGGTGCTGATCTTTTTAGCAGTAAACTTTAACAATCTGTACGATTTAATTGAACTGCAGCCTGAATAAAAATGTTTACCTGTTTACCTGCAAATCCACTTTGGTTGCTGGAAATGCTACAACAAAAACTTTCCCCAGTAACCTATTTTGTGTTTATTTAATGTCTAAGTGCTCATACGTGGAGATAAGTGGGACATTTTGCAATGATTCTTCTGGATGATCTGTCACTGATTATGAGTCTTTACTGGTTAACCAGCCTCTGGTGGAAAACTTATTTCTGTTACTTGTCTCTTTATGTTCTTAGAAACATTATTTCAGTCAAAGATAGTGTCAAAAACAAGTTAGTGATGATTAACTACAGTTCATGTCATTATCTTCATATCTTACACAACAGCTCCAGTGTACCATGGGACAAAAACATGTGAGATAATGATGATGATGATGAGATAGCCTTTATTTGTCAGTTGCAGGTCTTTTGCCCACACAGCCACAGTCCAGGCGACCTGATTGCGGCACAGATTGTCTTGTTGTCTACATGATGTTTTGCATGTAGCAACATTCGTGTTAAAAATAGGATTAGCTTGCTTTTTGTGAGGTCATAGCAAGAGACTGACTATAGTCGGGGGTGCACATAAGTGGTCCGCAGGTGCGCATTCGCTGTCAAAATAAAAGACGCGCAACAAGTTGCAACGCCGAACCGCAAAAGAAGCGCGTATTCTCGGAAAAGTAGTTGCAGGAGGTGAGCTGGCTTCAAACAAATGATGAACGCACAGAGATGTGGTGCAGAATATGCCCACTCTAGCGGACAAAAACACTGCCTTTTATATGTACGCAAACGCGCGTTGCAACTTCTTATCTGGTGCGCGTCTTTTATTTTGACAGCGAATGCGCACCTGCGGACCACTTATGTGCACCCCTGACTATAGTGTATACAGTGGGCTATATTATGTAACTGTGTCTGTAACTGTGATAAAGCACTGTATAAAACACACGATACCAATATAAAATCAGCAACTGAATTTAAGCTTTTTTTTTATTTGACTACAGAAATTCTAAAAAGAAAAAAAAGAAAGAAAAAAAAAGCAGATGTTCAGATAACCCCCCTGTGAGTAGCACTTGGTGATGGTGGGGAAGAAGAATCCCATTGTCATGGTTCCGAGTCATTTGACCCCGCATTTTGGGTTTTCTTGTGTTTTTGTCATTTTGTATCATGATTTATGTTTAAGATAAGATAAGACACCAAGACAAGACATGCAAGACATAAATGTAACAATTCAACCACTACTATTACTATGTAAGTAATAGATATCTATGAGTATAGAAATGTACATGCACACACACACGTACTAAACTAAATATACATATGTATATACCTGCACACGTCCATACATATAAAAAGGTGCATTATGCATGAAGTGTGTGATGTCCACAATGTCCAGTGACTCATGATGTCATGATTGAGGAGTTATAGAGTCTAACTGCTGTTGGGATGAATGATCTGTGAAAGCACTCCTTCCTGCAGCGAGGGTGTTTCTGTTTGTGACTAAAGGAGCTGCTCAGCACACTAACAGGCTCATGCAGAGGCTGATGTGGGTTGTTCATGATGGGTGTCATCCTCCTCTCACCCACAGCCTTCACAGACTCCAGAGGACATCCCAGCACGGAGCTAGACCTCCACACCAGTTTGTCAGTCCTGCTGACACTCATTCATCAGGCTCAAGAAAAGAGCAGCACAGAGAGACCACAAACAATACACAACTGCATACAGAACAGACAAAAATTAATGACATGACACAGTGGCATATACATTGAAAAGAGTGGGGGAAAAAAATTTTGCTCAACACATCATGGGAAGTCACCAACAGCCTGAGCTTTGGCAGCTAAAACTAAATGCTACTACAGGGTCACCTGTCATGTTTACATATTTTAATCCTAACCTTAACTGAAAAGAGACAAAAAAAAATCAGGATTAAATATCATTGGATTTAGTTGAACAATAAAACAAGGACCTTCTTGTAAGTATCCTCGACCAGCTGATCTACAGTGGAGGGAAATACATATTGATTCCAAATTGAACTCATTGTTTTAGCCACTTAGAATTCTGTGGTAGGTTTATTTTAATAGTAAATGATAGAATGTCAACAAAATATTCAGGATTAGAGATGTAAGAGTTACAAATGAATGCTAATTTATGTAAGATAAATAATTCTTTGATCTTGTACTGACCAGCATGAACTGAAACAAAAGTAAAGTGTTCAATAAAAGTTTAATTGGCAGCAACTTCAGCATTAACAGCCAACACTGACAGTTAATTGCACCAGTTCTATGAATAGCACCCAGAACCTCTGACCTGTTTACATCTTGAATGCTGCAAAAACAAAAAGCCACCTAAGAATATCGGCAAGAAGACTGCTAAACTTCACACACTCTTATAGTCTAATAGACATGTCCACAAGAAGCATAGTAAAAAAAACCAAAAAAACAATCATATCTGTTGGTCTGATTAATCACAAATGGAACAAAGATGAAATTACTATCAATAATAATTAGTGTGGGGCAACTTGCAAGATTTCCTCTGTTGTTAAAGATATCAGAGCAGCTCTGAGGACAGTTACCAAGAAAAATATTTGTAATACATTGTGCTGTGATGGTTTGAAATCCCGGAGGACCCATGTTCAGGCCTTGAGAGAGTGTGATGTGGTAGACGAGGCCAAAATTGAGCAATTTTTGCATCAATTTACTGGTTGCATTTGCTGAAGATGACACAGAGAATACTATCCCAAAACATGGAGATGGAAACTTTAGGCTTTGGGAATGTGTTTGTGCCAGAAGTACAGGGTGTCTGCATGACATTAATCACTCAGCCAAGGACTGAAAGTGACTCATGAATAGGTCTTCCAGCAAGACAATAACCCAAATCATACAGGAAGAAGTACAGTAAAGTCATGGAGCACCTTAACCACTGTCTGGGTCTTAGTCCAACAGAAAACCTATAGAGAGAAATGAAGCTCTGTGGTTTCCAAGCAACAACCTTTGAACTAAAAGATTATGAGAAGATCTGAAAAGAGGAGAGGTAGATGTATGCAAACCGCAGGACAAACTGCATGAAATATTTGACAGCTTTGCTTGCCAAGAAAGAGTATTCCACCAAGTGTAAAGTCTTATTTTAAATAGTAGTGTCAAAGATGGATTATATAATCATGTTTTCTTTGTTTTGGCATTCTTAGTATTTGAAAGACTGATTTCAGATATTTTAGCACAAACTAAAACTATTTTTAGATTATTGCTGTTTACAGATATATAGATACATGTAGTTTAGTTGAAGTTTAGTTTTGACTTTTAACTCAATTAAATACTCATTATTTATTCCTAGCAGGTGTATATGATGTGATGGAGGTGTTGTATCAGCTTGATATAATAATGCTTGATTTTATTCTTTTCAACACTTACAAAATAAAACAATAATAACAAAACCAGATCCGTGAAAAATGAAACAGAACGACGAGTAAGTTTAAATACTTTTATTGTTGTTTCACCTCATTGGGGTCTTAGATTACAACACAAGAGAACCAGGTGATACTAAGTCAGTATAAAAATAAATTAAGGCAAAAATAATACAAAATTCCCTTTTGTGAGACCTGAGCTAACGTAGACTCTGTCTCTGTCATATAATTCGATACGACAATGACAGTAAGATGTGCATTCACAATAAGTTATTATTAAATAGAAGACTTCTGACAATAGGACAATACATTGGAACAACAGAAGAAAAAATATTGCTACTACAAATGAAGATGAAGATGCATGGAAATGTAGCAGTCGTTACTGATATTATCTCGCTGAGATAGTTCTAATGAGCATAGTCAGGAAGGTTTATCTTTACTATTTCTACAGTTTCATGATTTACATTCTCCATGATTTGCATGGATTTTTTGTAATGAACAGCCCAAGCAGATTATAGAATGTCACAGTGGTAATAACCAAATGCTGTAAGGAAAACTGCTCATTTTCTTAAGGATATAAAGGCCTTACTATAAATTAAGACTATGTTAAACTGTTAGCAGTCGGACGTACCGCCCACGGGACATTGGATGGTTTAGGGGACTAATAGGACTGCTAAGGGGTTAAAGAGATAATCTAGCTATTCATACTATGTTCTATAATTTTAAGATGCTGTTTCCCAGTTACTTAATTTAATTTCCAGAATGTCTTACATGTCATTCTATTATTGCCAACATTGTAGTTTGGAATTACAGACAAATAGTCTGGAGAATTAACCCTACAATTGTTTACAGCTGCTAACATGTGGCTTTTTCCTCTTCACATTTGCTTCACCCTCTGCTGCAGGAGAGCCAGTTGCTGGGCTACCTCATTGGGCAGGTCAGCGTTCACCTGTGTGGTGAAGTATTTCCTGATCTCATCCACCTCCCTCTGCCAGAATTCCTGATCCAGGGAGAACAGCTCATCCAGGTCCACATGTCCCTGAAGGCCCTGGAGATTTAGGGAGTCTCTACAAGGCAGGTAGCCCACTGCTGATGGCATGGCGCCCTCCTCGCCATTCACCCGTCTGAACATCCAGTCCAGAACGCGGATATTTTCACCAAACCCGGGCCAAAGAAAGCCGGCAGTGGGGCTCTTGCGGAACCAGTTGACATGGAAGATCTTAGGAAGCTTGGCACCGGGGCGATCAGCCATGCTCAGCCAGTGAGAGAGATACTGGCCAAAGTTGTAGCCAAAGAAGGGGCGCATAGCGAAGGGGTCATGCATTATTACTTTGCCTGGAAGAAAAAGTAATTAGAGATTTGTCAGTACACTGTATGTTAACGTGAATGACATTCATGTGTTATTTGTTGTCATTCAAGAATTCTGAAAGTGGGTTTTTTTAGCAGAATTTCAGATTAAATTGTCGCTAGTCTAAAACTATTTGTAGAATATTAGGCAAAAGTCAAAATGATCATCTAAGAAACTCCTTAAACATCCACTGATTGTCTTTCATACCAAAAAAGGACACTATCGTATGCTGACCTTTGTGTTCGGCTGCAGCAGTGGCCTCCGACCTCATGGCAGCGCCAACAAACACACCATGCTGCCAGTCAAAAGCTTCATACACAAGGGGAACACCTGAAAATAAGCAGATTCATTATCCAGTTATTTTCTGAGAAGTATTTATGTATTATTTTTATTTCATGTATTTAATCAAAGGGCAACTGGTGTATTCATTTCCATCTTTTGTAGTCTCTTCTCACCTTCTGGTCTACGCCCACCAAAAATGATGGCCTCTATTGGCACTCCCTCTGGAGACTCCCACTGTGGGTCAATAATGGGACACTGTCTTGCCGGAGTGCAAAAACGAGAGTTGGGATGAGCACAGGGCTCGCCTACGAAGAAGAAGAAGAAAAAAGAAAGAAACTAAGAACTTTTTACTTTTATGACACTCACACACTTCTTCTCAGTTTTAAAGTATATGATCTTTCTGTTATTTATCCCTATTTTTTTATAATATAATCTTGTACTCTGAAATTATTTGGGTCTAACAATTAAAGATTTAAAGCTTTTTTTCTTGTTACGAGACATTTGAAAATTGCTTTCGTTACACTTCTGTTTCCACCTTAAATACTGGTTTTAAATCTTAGACATCTTGTAGTCTTGCTTCTTTTTCTTCTTTTGTGAGCTGTTGCTTAAAATCAAAGAGCTGCTTACCATCTTCTGAGCGCCAAGGTTTGTTCTTCCAGGATGTGATGGTAACTCCCTCGGGCAGTGACTGGTCCATTCCCTCCCAGTACACACCACCGTCACTTGTCTCTGCAACATTTGTGAATATGGTATTCTTGATGATTGTTGCCATTGCATTGGGGTTGGTCTTGGCTGAGGTGCCGGGTGCAACGCCAAAAAAGCCATTCTCTGGGTTAATGGCTCTGAGGTTTCCTACAACCAGGGTGAACACACAAATTAGAAATGTTAAAGTCCGCTGTACTGGATTTATGACATTTTTGACATTTGTACATCCTTGAAGACCTTTAAAAAGACATCCTTCCTTTACCTTGGTCATCAAACTTCATCCATGCAATGTCATCTCCCACACATTCAACCTTCCAACCAGGCAGCGTGGGGCAGAGCATGGCCAGGTTTGTTTTTCCACAGGCGCTGGGGAAGGCTGCTGCCATGTACTTCTTCTCTCCAGCAGGGTTGGTGATGCCCAGGATCTGAACACAGGAAATATTTGAGATAAGATAAGATAAAACTTTATTTTTAATTAATCCCTCGGGTGGGTTCCTCTGGGAAATTCGGAAATTTAGTTTGATGAAAATGAACAGAATGTGGATGAATCCAAAATTTAAGTGACAGTCTCATTTTCATTTCTTACCAGCATATGTTCGGCCAGCCAGCCTTCCTCTTTAGCAATGCGTGAGGCAATGCGAAGGGCGAAACACTTCTTTCCCAGCAGGGAGTTTCCTCCGTAACCACTTCCAAATGAGATAATTTGTCGGCGGTCTGGGATGTGAGCGACTAGTGTCAGCTCAGGGTTGCAGGGCCAGTTATTCACCAGAGGCTCTGAAAGACAAATTAGTACATTTGTTCATTTCAGTGGTCTATTAGCAGTTTTGTGGCAAAAGCGCTATTGTGTAACTAAAATATAAGTGAAAATATTATTGAGCAACAGTAATCAGAGTAGTAACTGATTCATACTCATAGTAAAACAGTAGCAATATGCAGTAGTCCTCCATATTGCTACTGTGCCCCCCCGTATAGCTGCAAGAGAATGAGTCGATCAGTTTTTGACATACTTTTGAGTGGCAGAGGACAGCCGACAGAGTGCAGACAGCGGACAAATTCTCCAGTCCCCAGGGCGGTCAGAACAGCTTTCCCCATACGAGTCATCACCCTCATACTGGCCACCACGTAGGGAGAGTCTGTCAGCTGTACTCCAATCTTAGAGAGAGGGGAACCTATTGGACCCATGCTGAAGGGAATCACGTACATGGTCCTACCTGAGGATAGATACAGACAGGGATGTTCTTATTATTATGTTATTTCAATATTATTTTAAGGTTTTTGGTATTTGAGACATTCAGACAGTCAGGAAAAGAAGAAAATTTGCCTCCAGCTCATTTAAACACTTTAAAGGCTGTGTAACTTGTAAAAATAATCTCCGATAGTGTTTCTTCTTTCTAAAAAGTACCTGCTGCACTGTGGATATACTTGTCTAGATTCTCAATGCGATCCCGGAAAGGGGAAAAAATTTATTCATTTAGTCAGTGTACTATTGATGAGTGAAAACTTTTGATTTCTCAAGTTTTTCTAGTCCTATATTTGAGTTAAGAACTGATAGCATTTATGAAACACGTTCGTCTCTGGTACCTCTCATGCAGCCGGGGAACCGCTGAGCCATGGCTTTGTCGAACTCTTCTGGGGGCATCCAGCGGCCCAGCTGGCTGATTCCACCTCCTAGTGGAGTGGGCACTGTGTCCTTCTGTTCCTGGGTAACAATAACTGTCTTACTCTCCACACGAGCCACATCCCTCGGGTCAGTTCTGGCCAACCAGCTGCAGGAAGAGGAAGAAGAAAAGGAAGTGCACAAATATTGAAAACTTTAGGGCTTTTGTTTTAAATTTTAATTTGTTGTACTTTATTTTAAAGTAGGCAACGGTTTTAAAATCTCCTAAAGCAGCCACAAATCAATATAATAATAATCAATATGTCTTCTTAATATCAGCTGGTAAAAATGAATGGTGTGATTGAGCTACCTAGACCTACTGGTTTGTCAAGAAGTAGAAATTTTCCAGGCATGTTTTATATTTAAACAGCTGCTGATGACAGAATGATGTGTGTTGTAATTATCAACAGCAACAACCCTGGGCATCTCCCAGCTGCACCAAAGCACCACTGTCCCAGCTACAAAAACAACCCAAGCTATATTCAAGAAATTTAAAGCTATCGTTAGCAATAATTTCTTCTGTTTTTCAATTTGAAACCCTCACTCACATAAAAAAAATAACTAACTAAATAACTAAATAAGTCTCTTAAAAAAAGAAAGCCTTCCATAAACCACTGAGTGTAACAAACATACCAGTTCTCATATTTGGTGAGCTTCTTGATCATCCCCTGTTCCTCCAGCTGGGTCAGGATGGCAAGGTTCTCCTCGTCTGAGCCATCACAGATGTGAATGGACTCTGGCTGGCACAGGGTCATATTGGTCTCCAAAAACTCCCTTACAGCTGGACTGAGGGCACTGAGATCACCCTGTAGGATCCTGGGACCACTCTGGTTCTGGGACGGGATCTGAGGAGGCATGGTGAAGGTTCTGGAGAGAGCGTGAGCTGATAGACTGAGGGGAAAAGGTGACAGGAAGTCTGGAAAGAAAGATTTAAGTGGGGGCTTGAAAAGGAAAGGGGAAAAAGGAAGATGGTAGAAGAATGTTGGAATTGAATAATATGGGTGAATAATATGGTGACAAGGAAGAGGAAAAATATAAAAGGAGGATAAAGTTTCGTAAATAAAGACAAAAATGAGGACAGACCAAGAAGAATGAAAAAAAAAAGAATGAAGCAGAAAAATGGTCAAGGTGGAGTAAAATTTGGGATAAAAGAGAGACATGGGGGGAAAAAAGAATTTTAAAAAAGTCAGTTTTGTGCATACATATTCTCAAAAAAAAAGTGCTCTGCTGCTGCAACATCAAGAAATCAAACTCTGGGTGATGCAACAGCATCCTTGTGCAGATACCTCTCATTCTGCAGTGATCCTCACATTACTTTGCCTCATATTATTTTACCCTCCTCACTTTAAACATGAGCCCCACTGAAAAGAAAGAGCAGTAGGTTACCTTCAGTAGTTTGCCTGGAGTGCAGAGCTTTTAGCTTGGTCTCATCTGCTGAGGTGTCCCTGTTGCCTGTTTGCAGGAGAGTTGAGGACTGTTTCTCCTTCTTGGTCAGTTGTATCTCCTATGGAGAGCTTTGTCCTTTTTATACCCTGGGATGTCTCGCAAGACAAGGGAGGGAGTGGGGAGGGGTGTGGGTGAGGGAGGGGTGGGGG